CATGCGCCACCATGCCCGGCTAATTTTTTCTTTAGTTGTCCAGATAATTTCTTTCTATTTTAGTAGAGACAGGGTCTCACTCTTGCTCAGGCTGGTCTTGAACTCCTGACCTCGAGCTATCCACCCGCCTCAGCCTCCAGAGTGCTAGGATTACAGGTGTGAGCCACCGCGCTCGGCTTGGGCTGGTCTTTATTGCTTAATCTCTAAAATGGAGAAATATCTAATTTGCCTGAAGGCCAGTAGTCTAGATCAAGGGATCTGTTAAGGTCCTTTTCAATTCTAAGATGTTATAATTTTAGAAAGTATTGGAACTGAATCATGTTTTACTAGCAGAGACTTTTCAAGGAGACAGACTTGGATTCAAATCTCTTTCGCAACATTTACTAGGGGGTGATGCCAAGAATGCTACTAAATATTTCTCATTTTCTGTTTCCTATTTTATAAAGTGGAATATCTCAAAGGGTTATTATAGGGATAAAATGAGATAATGTTTGTAAAACACTTGCATGGTTCCTGGTCCATGGAAAGCTCTCAACAAATGGAAAATATAAAAACAATCACACCCATATAGATAAGGCTTAAAATCAAATGATTTAAATGCTCATAGTTTTCTAGACAAAAAAAAAAAATTAATAAATAAACCTTACTAGAATACTCAACTCCAGGCACTTCAGTTTAACAAATTTGTACTGATGTGTGAAATTATGCTTGAGAAACTATTTAGTCCACAAATGTAATAATTTGTTTCCCTTTATGCAGATAATGATGCATTTGCATAGACTTATTAATTTCTACTTGAAACTTAAAAATGTGATTCCAAATTTATAGTAAAAACAATACAAAATCGTCAGCAATCTTCAAAAATCTAGGTGGAATACTGGATACTTTTGTAGTCTGCATTTTGGTAACTTTATTCTTCCCTCTTTTGGAAGTGGGTAAATATGCCAATGTTCTCCTTTTTCATGTGCTAATCAAGCTAATGGTCTGTTCTGGGATTGTCTCTTCCTTTCCTCTTCTTCATAGTTGGAGAAGAGAATTACTGGAAGTTACACCTGTGCCAAGATCCAAGGCAAAGACCAGGTACTCTGGTCAGTATCCATAGGGGTCTGCAAGTGAGGGCATTGCCAACTGGGTCAGTCCTTGGCAAAACACCAAAGCAGATCAAGTTTCTGTTTGGGCTGCTTCTATTTCCTATTGCTTCACTTGTTCCCTGCCAATCTAAAGTGTTAAGTAAAATGACTATTTTACTTAATGATATTGTTTAAGTAATAAGTAAAGCATTTGCTGATAAGGACTTTTGATATAATTCATCCTGGGGATTTTTTTTAAGTTCTGATTTTGGAATAATCATAGACTCACAAAAAGTTGGAAAAAAAATAATATGGAGAGGTACCATATACCCTTTACCCAGCTTCCCCAGTGGTAAAATCTTACATAATTATAGTACATTATCAAAACTAAGAAATTAACATCAGCACAATACAGTTAACTAGACACAGACAGATATTTTTAAAGAATGAAAAATTCTCAAGGCCGAAAGGAAATCTTTTCTGACTCTTACTTAATGTCACCTCTGTGTGTAACTCAGTTTTTACACTTTTCTCAATTAATTGAATTCTATATTAACTTGCTGTCTTCTCCACTCTATCCCTTTAGAAGACCATAGAAGACCATACTGTATTCACCTATTGCTCATTAAAGTACCTAGCACTCAATAGGTATTTTTGGTTAAAAGGATGACTAACAGTTGCTTATGTCAATAAAGGGCTTTACAGTCTTCAAAGCCCATTTATAGATGTTATCACTACTGAGAATGGTCATGGTCTGGGGAAAGAACATTGACTTTGTAAGCATTTAAATTTTGGCATTTATTAGCTTGAGTCTTGTGACAAGGCACTGAATGTCCTTCCTCATGTGCTTAATTGTATCCGTATAATAGAGTTGTGAAGATAGGAGGAGGTAATTTTTGTAATAAAGAACCAAACACGGAGGCTGTGGGAGGTAGACAGGGCAAAGGATTTGATTGCCATTTTACAAACTAAGGCTCAGAGGAGGAGTAAGATGTTTGTTGAAAATCATAGAACTAGTTCATCATAGTGCAGCTAAGCGCTTAGACACTTTAGGTCAGGTGTCTTCCATATCACATTACCTTTCCCAGGTAACAGGAGAGTAGATTTAAAAAAAAAAAAAAAGCAAAGCAAGAAGTAAACAAACAAACAACCACTTTGGGGCAGTTACAGAGGTTTAAGAATTTGTCCTTACTAGTGAGTGGTTGTTGATTTCCTTTGCTATGGGCACAGGAAATTCTCACTTAGGTGGGGCTGGTGACAGGCTAAACCAGGGCTGTGGGTGTTATTTCAGGGGTCTCTGCCAAGTGCCCCCCCCAATAGCCATTTAAAGCCAAATAGCCAGGAATCTTGCTTGCCAAACCACACCAAATGTTTATGCCCTCATCCCCTGGGGAAGGCAAGGAAGGATGAGAACTCAGAGCTCTCAACTATTCACACTGCACTACCAAGTCTTTTTTAATCAAAAGAGAATTTAAACTGAAAAAGATAGAGGCTTTTGGCATCATCATCAACATTATTTGCTATTTTCTGCTCATGAAAATAATTTCTTATCAACAAAAGACTACATGTAAACATGTAACTTTTTTACTAATCTGAAACGACTGGTAACACATTGGCCAAAGTTGCTTCTCAACTGGTCCTAAACTAGGACCAGAAATTCAAGTGAATGTAAACCTTTTACATTGACTTGAATTCTTCATGTAGAAGTACTCAATATTATTTTGGAAGTATTCCTTTGGCTTATTCAATCTATTCATTTCACTGAAATGGAATAGGGGATGGTAAAATATATTATTGATTTACAAGGTTGTTGGCTGCAAATGTTAAAAGCTCTGGTAGCTTAAACACTGAAGTATAATTAGAAACATTAATTTTTTGGTAGTGGTTTGCAATTTGACCTTTCCCTCCACCAGTTAAAAAAATGGGAATGTCAGGAATCAAGATTAGAGATGAGAAAGGTAGGACTAGAATATTTCTCTTGGATTCTGAGTAGTTTCTCTGGTTTTGATGCTGTCCCCAATCTTTGACCACTTAGGTGAGGTGTGATAGAGGTAAGGAGAGAAAAGGAAAAAAGAATTGCTTTGGTACACTACATCTCATTAGAATTGAGACAGTTAGGATTTAAAGTTACCCTGAGACATTCCTCAATAGAGTATCTCATAGTAAATACAACCTTTGCAAACTTGTAAGAAATAGAAGAATATAAACATGTTTGTGAGTTCTAAATTTGTTAAAGCTCACATTCTCAGAATCATAAGGTTTTAAAGATACCCAGGAAGTTTTTTTTCTTTCCTTAGCTTTGACTTTCTCATTGTTTATTACTTAAGAAACAAAAGAATTTTTTATTTTTATCCATCCTTGAAATAAAGACATTGTAAATCAGTCTGGGTCCAGTTACAAGACAGAGACCATATTGAACAGGGAACATTTAATATACAAAATGTTAAGTAGGAGAAGGTAGGAGCTCACAAATAATGCTTATCTGCTATCCACCTCCTTGGTATGAGGCAATGTCTGGCTGAGTATGTGTGCTTAGCTCCACGATGAAGGGCTCTGGCTTCTATGTTAACCTGGTCAGAGGCAACAAGAACTACCTCTGGATTCAGTCCATACTTGTGGGGGACCCACTCAGGCTTGATCTCCTTCATTTTGTGTCCATCTTCCATTCTGCTCTGCCTGCCTTGTAGACGTCAAACCCCAGCAACAGTTGTGCAGAAAACATTCTCATGAAGACTGTTTGATAACCCCCACAAAGAGGACATACTGCAAGAATTGTGTAAATTTACACAATTCTTTCAATATATCTATTATTTGT